ATTGTCACTTCTCACTGTCTGACACTTCACTCACTCATATTTACTTATGTATTTGTTGAGGCCTCTTTTCTGCCCTCACAGGGGTCTTGCTCTGAATAAAAAGGGGATTTTCTTGTTTCATTCGCTATTACTTAGCGCCTGGTGTATAATGGACAATTAGAGATTATAGATAGTGATTACAGCTCAATTCTCCGGAGGTTGACAAGTCCATAAAAGACTACTCAGTTTATATTTATTAGACAAGAGAAAGATAATAAAAATGGAGAAGGGAGATCAAGTCATTACCTGTACCCAGACACACATTTTTGTCTCTTTGTTAACTCCCTGGAAAGGCTGTAGGGAAACTCTTCCCATCTTTGATTCTGAAGGTGGTTGCTTCCCTCCCCTGGCAGCTATGAAAGGCTTTTCTTAACTGACTGGAGACAGAAGAAGAGGAAACAACCATTTATCAGGAGAGAGAATGCTACTGTGAGGTTATGAAATAATATTTGGATGACATTACTCTGGATAACTAAGTTATGATTTAAAAAAAAAAATCCCAAGATCACTGGAAGGGGAATAGCAAAAGTCAGGAGTGATGCATCAACAACAGAGATGACAGAGCTGTAAATAACACCCGGCTAAACCTGCCGTCAGGAGGGGAGAAGGAAAAAGCAGCAGGCTAGATGCTCAGGACCAGGAGGCTGGAGCTGGGACAGAGTGTACCTACCGGTAATGCCAGAATCTGATAATTTGGCACTGGCCTTTCCAAGCCTGGGGACAGAAGTGGCTTGCAGCCAGACCTGCCTCTTGTTATTCAAACAAACAAACTGGCAGGATGGAAAGAGCCTGCTGTAGGTGATTAGAGTATACAGGGAACATCCATGAGAAGCAAAGAGATCCACTGCTGAGGCTGGGACTTCAAGGAGTCCAGGTAAGAAACAGAGCTCTGGGATAGAAAGAGAACAAAACGCTAGCAGAGTGGGAGTGTCCTGCAGATGCGTGTATGATGGGCGATCTGGGAATGACCATGGCATTGGCTATTTGGTGGATGAAGCAGGAAAAACAGATGAAATCAAGTTTTTCACTTGGACTTTTAGCTATAAACAATGAAAAACACATAAAAATCTGACAAAGTTCAAATAGAACTTTTGTTGAGAAGTACAACGGTATACTAGCAATGTGCAGAGGCCAGATGTCAAGTAAAATCTGTAGCTCTTGACCTCTCTTCATTTTTTCACCTGCATTAGCTTCATTCTCTGACTGTCTCTACCCACAATGGTGGACCACAGAGGTTCCAGGTGTACATTCATCCGGCTTCTGGTCCAGCAAGGCGTGCCTGTGGCCTGGTTGCTCTATCAGGCCCAAGCATTTCATCTCATTGCCTCTGATTTGGTCATATGCTCTTCCCTCAGTCAAACATAAGCTACAGTGTCTTACTGGTCAACTGTGGGCCATATGATTTTTTTGGGAAGCCCAGTAAAGTCAGCTTCCCCTAAACCACTTGATCTAGGAATGAGAAAAGAACTTTCTTCAAGAAAAACTTAGATGCTGGTACTGTAAGACAGGAATAGAGACCCTAAGTAAGAAAAACAAAAAACAAAAACAACAAAACAGACAAACGAAAACCCAAACCCAAGTCAGATCTTTACAACCAGTAATCACGGTGCTCACATGGAAATGGCCAGGAGCAAAATCTCTCATTAGTACACGAATATGGAATACCAATCAATGTTACAGTCACACCACTCAGCCGTGATTAGGTTGACTACGTTGCACCCTCTCATTTAAAGGAACAGTAAACAGTTAGCACCAAGAATGAAGAACACTAATCATAAATGAGGAAAAAGTAGCCACAGCTATTTAACAGTAAAGAATACACTTGAAAAAAACTTGACATTTAAATTTGGTAACGATGAATGCAGTTATCATCTATCGATCCCCTTTAGACTGTAATATAACAAAGTTGTGGGGTTGGGGATTTAGCTCAGTGGTAGAGTACTTGCCTAGCAAGCATAAGGCCCTGGGTTCGATCCTTGGCTCTGGAAAAAAAAAAAAAAGACCTAGAAAAAGGACCCCAAGGTCACAGTAAATATTTTATTGTCAACTTGATGGGATTTAGAATCATCTAGGAAGGGGGTTTCCAGAGAGGTTTAATGGAGGTGGGAAGCCCCACCCTGTGTAGCAGGGGCCCTTTCTCATTGCTGGGGTCTGAGGTGATAAAGTGAGCTGCACCCCAGCATTCATCACTCTGCTTCCTGTCTGCAGACCCGCTGTGACCAGCTGCCTCATGCTTCTGCCTGTCACTTGCCCATCATGCTGTACTTCACCATCAGACCCTGAGTCCGAATGAGCCCGCTGCTCCTTAAGTTGCCTCTTGTCGGGTATTTGTCATAGCAATGAGGGAAGTAACTAACTAATCTAGAGAGCTCCTTAACTTTTAGTTCCGGAATAATTCTCGAAGAAGCTCTACAATGGGCAAAGTCTCCGAAAGCCTTTTGGGAAATAGGCATATACTTGGTTTCTGAAATCAATTCCCAATTTATTTCTCCGACTTTGCCTTTCTGGCTGCTCTGTTTCTACCTCCTTTATCCATACTGTGCTCTCCAGAGATTTGCCTTTGGTTCTCAGTTCTTCTGTCTTTATATTCTCCGGAGACTCCATCCATGCCTCTCAGCAGGTTCCCCCTAAGATCTCCCTTCATGTTATGCTGATGTCAGCCATCCTTAGTGATTCCTAATTCCCCCTTCATGTTCACACTTGGGAAGTCATACAGAGGGATTTCTCAATGGTGTTTTGATGGGTGGGTGACTGGAAAAATGAATGTTTTCCCCTTGATGTTTCTAAGTCAGCATTACCTGTGACATTTAATATTCTCAACTTGACAGGATCTAGAATTACCTAGGAGTCAAGCCTTTAGGCACACTTGGCCATGAAAGTAGGAGCATCATTTGAGCTGGGGTCTTAGATGGCATAGGGAGGAAGCTAGCTGAGAACATTCATTCATCTCCTCCCCCTTTGTACTTCCTGGCTGAGGATGTAAAGTGACCAGTGCCTCAAGCTCCTGCCACCATTCTGCCCTGTCACGATGTCCTGGGCTCTGGAACTTTTACCCAAATTAATTCTTTTCCCTTTTAAGTTGCTTTTGTTGAAGTTTTCTTTCTTTCTTTTTTTTTTTTTTTTTAATTTGTTTTTTACAACAAAGAGACATGTAATTAAGATAGTGGCTGAAACCCAACTAATCCTATTCTGCTTCTGCTTGGAAGTGTGTGTGTGTGTGTGTGTGTGTGTGTGTGACATGAGCTTCAGCTCAGGTACCAGGTCTTCTAGAAAGCTTTGTAGATTCTTCAAGGTGACTATGATTCCCCATAGCTGTCTTCCATGGCTTTCTCTCTTTTTCTCTTTCTATGTTTCGTCCCCCGTCTCTCTTATACAAACATATTTCACTGCTCTATAAAGATCAGGTTTCCCAGATGCCATACAGCTTTCCTTGTAGGCTTGGGAAAGGTGGTGAGTTCATCCCTAAGTGTTTGGTGCCTAGTCCTACATGAAAACATAGGAAGATTTTGAGAAGCACCCAACGAGGAAATTAGTCGTTAAAACCCCAAGTCTTTGTTTCCTCCCAGAGCCTATTTTATAACCGTAAGTCAGGGTTAGCTGTAAAGTTCCTCTTGTCCTTGATACTTCCCACAGTATGGAAAGGGTGGCCCCTAATAAGCTATAGGATCTAAAGGGGATTGTGTTATATAACAGTTTCCACCTTGACTGAAACATTCCATCAGGTTAGTTCAAGGGCAGCCTGAGACTGCCCCAGGTTTTTTTTTTTTTTTTTTTTTAACTTCTGTATTCTTAGTGGCATGGAATTACTGTGCTTGTTCCCTTTGTTCTTTTCCCTAGAGTCCAAGTCCCCGTGGGTCAAGACTTCACACCTAGATCTGTAGGGCATGAAGTTTACTCCTTATTTTTTCCTCTTAGGGTAGCTGTGAGGCCAGTTTACCTTCCATCCACACTTCTAAGCAGAGCCTGAGGCACTTAATATATGCCAAGTTGCCTATTTGTGAAATCATTCATTCTTTATTCACTGCGTGATCACCTGGATGTGACGATTCATGGGTGCTGTTCTAGGTGCTGATGGCACACCCATATTGACTGGGCTTTGTCTTTATGAGTCAGGGCCTTGATTTTTAGTGGGTTCAGAGGTCTGGCTTTCAATTGAGAAGGCAGCAGAATATATCCCAGTGTCGCCACGATACTGAGCAAATCTTTTTAGCATCCAAAATGAAACCTGTTCCTGGCTCTTACACCTCATAGCTTAGTAGAACCATCAAAGACATCTACCTGTAATTCTACCTTTATCTGAGCACCAATATTTATCATTTGCAATAGCATTCTGAAAATCAGTTCTTTTCAAATTTATCTAATTCTACTTGAGAAAGCAAAAGAGAACTGAAATTTATCAAAATTCACCTTCCACCAATGTGGTTATTTGCCATTTTATTGTGCTAACATTTTTTTCCCCAAATATTTGAAAATAGTGATCCAAGTAGTAATTTATGAGCATCTATCATTGAAACTTCATACAGTGAACTGGGTGTGGTGATTGCAAACCTGTAATCCCAGCACTCGGTGAAGCAGAGGCAGGTGGATCTCTGTGAGTTTGAGACCAACCTGGTCTACAAATCGAGTCCAGCACAGCAAAGGCTACACAGAAAAACCTTTTCTCAAAAAACTAAAACAAACAAACAAACAAACAAACAAAAACAGAAACAGAAAGAAAAAACTTCATATAGCTGCCTGAGAAAGACCAGATTACTGTACCCATTTTACACGTAAAACAACCAATGGATTAGAGAGATTAATTGCCCAGGTTACACAGACATGGAGTACTGATTAAAGCCCAACTCTTTTGACACTTAATATTGTGCTTTTAGCATTACTCTGACAGAGACAAGAGAATGATATTCTAACTCACTCTTTAAATATTATGCTCTGTCAGGTATACTGGCGCCCAATCTCAGCACTTGGGAGGTAGAGGCAGGAGGATGACTTCGAGGGTAGTCATGAACTACAAAAGGTGAGTTCAAGTTAGTCTTGGCTACAGAGAGAGCTCAAAGCCAACCTGGATTATATGAAACCCTGAATGCCCCCCCCCCAATACACATACAAATGAATAAGGTCTATATTCTTCATCTTTATCAAATTACTTAGGGCAAAGAAACAAAGTTTATAGACTCTAGGTTGTGTGCATAGAAGAATAATATTTGGGACAGTTCAGTGACTAATTGCTTTAATTATGTCAAATTCCATCCACAGGTGAAAGGTATTATTTTCCAAGAATGCTATAAATAGATATTTAGGCAAATTATTTTAGCCAGTAAAGATAAAACTTTTTTGTAAGAGTGAGATATTTAAGTTTCATTATTTATTTCAATTTAAAAACTGTAATTTCAAGATCTTTTAAAAGCTATGGTAAATGGTTAGATTTTAGAAATTTATAATATTGCAATTATCCATTGGTTATTTTGAGAGGTGAGAATTTTTTCTTTTGAGACAGACTTTTACACTGTAGCTCAGGCTGTCCTAAAACTAACTTTGTAGCTTAGGCAAGCTTCAAACTTGTGGCTATCCTTCTGCCTTTTGAGTGAGTACTAGAATCGCAGACATGTGCTAGCAAGCCCACCTTTCATTGAAGACCTGTCTTAGGGTTTCTGTTAAGGGACACTATGACCATGGCAACTTTTAATGAGGAAAACATTTAGTTGGGGCTGGCTTACAGTTTGAGAGGTTCAGTCCATTACCATCATCGTGAAAAGCATGGTGGTGAGCACGCAGACCTGGTCCTGGAGAAGGAGCCTAGAATTCTGCATCTGGATTGGCAGGCTGCAGGCAGAGAGGGTGACACTGGACTTGGCTTGAGCTTTTGAAACCTCAAAGCCCTCCCCCAGTGACACACTTTCTCCAACAAGGCCACACCTCTTAATAGGGCCAGTCCCTAGGAACCTATGGAGGCATTTTCATTCAAACCACCGTAGCATTTATGCTATACCTGACAGGCACTCTGCATATTACTTCTTCTTGATTATAACTATATGAGCCTTATCAGTTGATTATTACAATTGATGATCAAAAGACAGAGACTCGGAAACTTTACTAACTTACTCACAATGAAAACCTCACAGCCAAACATTGGGTGAAAAGTAGGGAGTCTCAAAGAAAAATGGGGAAAAGGATAGATGGACCTGGAGGTGACAGGAATGCCACAAGAAGACCAACTGCACCAACTCAACAGGGCCCAGAGGGTCTTGTGGTGACTGAAGCACCCAACCAAGGACCTAGGCCCCCTACACAGATGTAGCAAATGGGCAGCTCTGGCTTCATGTGGGTTCCCTATTAAGGGGAGCAGGAGCCGTTTCTGACATGGACCCTATTGCCTGATTTTTGATTACTTCCCCCTTGGTGGGGATGCCTCGCCAGACCACAGGGGGAGAGGACAGGCTCAGTCATGATGTGCCTTGATGAACTGGGGTGGTGGGTGGGTAGGTGGAGGCTCCCTTTATCTGAGGAATAGGGGAGGGGGATGGCCCACCAGGGGAGGCACTGGGAGGAGAGGAAGAAGGGAGCTACTATTGGGATGTAAAGTAAGTAACTAAATTAATTAATTAAAAAATAACTAGAATGACTAAATGTTAATTTCTCTTCTGATTTATCTCTAGAAAACCAAGCTATTGCTGCTATCTGAAATAGGCTTTCCTCAGTGGCATGCAAAGACGGGAACCTGGCCTTCTCTTGCTAAAATTCCTTCCCAGGGGAAGAGACAAGCCACATCATCTACCCCTTCCCCTAAGGTCCCAACAACAAACTGAGGCACAATTCTGCCAGAATTCATTCTGACAGAACCAGTGGATGTATTGTGCTTGTTTGTAGAGCACAGGTGAGAGGTTGCTTACATGGATGTGGGTGTTCCTCCCCAACCTGATTTCCCAGATCACACCTAGAAAGCCTTTATGCCCAGGGATGACGGTTTCTCAGTAGTTGCATAGATGGAGTACCTTCTCCCTTCAGGCTTACATATTGCCAGTGGTTCTCAACCTGGGGGTCCCAGCCCCTTTAGCAACCTTTATGTCCAAAAACATTTACATTACGATTCATAAGAGTAGCAATGATACAGTTATGAAGTAGCACAAAAATAATTTTATGGTTTGGGGTCACCACAATATGAGGAAGGAAGGTTAAGAACCACAACTTTTGCCTCTTCCCAGGCCATGAGCTGTTAAGGCAGCATTGCATACCACAGGTGGTAGGGAACAGCTGGATACTCAGGTGAGGGTTTCATGACCCTTCCACCCCACTCTCTAGTCAACAAGCCCAGCTAGGAGACTCCTTTTGAAAGGTGGCTAAGGTGCTCAATCCCCATTCAGAAAGGCAAAGAGGATGGACATTGGAGAAAACAGGAAACATGACAGGAGCCTACCATAGAGGGCCTCTGAAAGGCTCTGCCCTGCAGGGTATCGAGGCAGATGCTGAGACTCATAGCCAAACTTTGGGCAGAGTGCAGGGAATCTTAGGAAAGAAGGGGGAGATAGAAAGACCTGGAGAGGACAGGGGCTCCACAAGGAGAGCAACAGATCCAAAAAGTTTGGGCACAGGGGTCTTTTCTGAGACTGATACCCCAGCCAAGGAGAACTCATGGAGATGGTCTGGAACTTCTGCACAGAGTTAGCCCATGGCATTTCTGTGTCTAAGTGGGTTCCATAGTAATGGGGATAGGGACTGTCTCTGACAGGAACTGATTGGCCTGCTCTTTGATCACCTCCCTCTGAGGGGGGAGCAGCCTTACTAGGCCACAGAGGAAGACAATGCAGCCACTTCTGATGAGTCCTGATAGACTAGGATCAGAGGGAAGGGGAGGAGGACCTCCCTTATCAGTGGGCTGGGGAAGGGGTACAGGGGAAGAGGAGGGAGGGTAAAATTGGGAGGGGAGGTGGGAGGGAGCTACAGGGGGATACAAAGTGAATAAACTGTAATTAATAAAAATAAATAAAAAAGAAAGGTGGGTGTTGAACTCCCCAAGACAGGTATTTATTGGCTCAGAGGACAGTCATTCACAACACCTTGCTTTGTCCTTGGTCTATGTTTCTATTGTTTGGCTAAATCAGAGATCCGCAAATGATGGCCGAGGACTAGTTCCAGTCTGTCCCTACTTTTGTATGCTCTGTGAAATAAGCATGGTATTATTGCATGTTAAAATTGTTAAAAAACAAAACAAGAAAACTATTTTGTGGCACATGAAAATTGTGTGAAATTAAAATTTCAGTGTCCTCAAGTTTATTGGAGCATAGCTACTATGCTAATTCATTTACACATCATCTGTGGCTGGTTTTGTGCCTCAGAGGTAGAGTTGAGTAAGTTTAATAAAAAAAGTTGGACCTTCCACTTCTTTATAGGAGAAGTTTGCTGGCCACTGGCCTAGTCTGAGAAGCTGTCCTGGTTTCTTGCTCTTTCTGATGCAGATCACAGGGTAGAGGCAGCCTGAGCTCTTCTTATACTTTTCCATCAAGAGTAAAACAAGAAACAAAGTTGGAATGACATCTAATATTAATGTTGATTTTAATACTAATTCTTCTAAAGAATTTTTAAAGATTTATTTTTATGTATATGTTTGTGTGTGTGTGTGCCATATGTGTGTGGGCGCTGGCTGAGGTCATAAGAGGATATTGGATCTCTTGAAGAAGCTGGGATTATGGGTTGGTGTAAGCTGCCTGACATGGGTACTGGAAACTGAGCTTGGTCCCTCTGAAAGAGCTGGAAGTGCTCTTAATGGACCATGAATCTTAATGAAGTATCTCTCCAGTCTCTAAAGGAAAAAAAAAAAAAGTAGCTACTTTCTTCACTCATCATCTTATTTTAAAAAGGGGTGTGTTTGCTAATGCCAAACACATGGACAGGATATAATCCCCAAACAAAGCAAAACCCCAGACTCTCTTGCAAATAGAATATACTTAGTTTCATGAAGAAGTCGTCATATTGTCATTGTTTTTTTCTCTTTTCAGCAGAAGCAAAGCAAAGTCCCTTCTGGAATGGCTCAGCTCATCAGAGCAACCCTAGGAAAGTCCTTTCTGGAATGGCTCAGCTCATCAGAGCAATCCTAGGAAAACTGAACAAAACACAAAATAAAGCAGGAGAGGAAGCAAAATGAAAAAGTGAACAAGCAAGCAAAAAAAAGACCAGAAATGTTTTGAAGATTAGCTTGTAAGTTGGGAAAACTGTTAGTGATAAAATGCTTTAGTGTGAAACTATAAGAAACATCAGTTGTTTTAAGTCACATTTCTCTAAAAAATGAGCATTGAATAATAGAAAAGAAATGACAATGCTTTCATGTGGTTGCATGTGTCTGTAATCTCAGCACTTTAGAGGCTGAGGCAGGTGGATGATGAGTTTGAGGCCAGACTGGGTTACCTAGGTCGGTCCTTAACCTTCCTAGTGCTGTGACCCTTATGTTGTAGTGACCCCAGCCATAAAATTATTTTTGTTGTTACTTCGTAACTGTAATTCTGTTAATGTTATGTATCATCATTTCACTAGTTTTGGAGATAGAGGTTTGACAAAGGGGTCATGACCCCTTTGAGAACCCTTGATATAGATGGTTCAAGGACAGCCAGGGCTATATAGCAAGACCCTATCGCAAAAGAGAAAGAGAAAAAGAAAAGCACACAACAAGGTAAAGAGAAATAGAACCACAGGACATTCTGGAAAAGAGATTCAAAGAGAAGTAAGGCCACAAATCAGAGAAGCTCATCACAGTCTCATCTCCCCTGGCAGACACATCCCATTTGCTGGGTATGTGGACACAGAACAATTATTTTATTACTCTTCTTCTCATGATATACGTCTCCACAGGCAAAAGGGATCAAAGAGTACTTTGTCTCTTGATGTATTGTCCTATTTTCTTCCAACAGGAATTTTTCAATAAACCTAGGTACTCCCTTGTTGTGTGGCTTTTCCCAGTGAGTGTGAAAAAAAAAATGTCTATTTCACTCTAGACAGGACCACTGCATACCAAAAAATGATTCCACCAAGTCCAACTTAATGAACCGGTGAATTTATTGGGGTTACTTACAGGAAAGAGACATAAGGCCACAGTTACTTAAAAGCCTGAGCAAATGAATCCTTTAGCTGGATACACCAACCTTCTGTGACTAACACAGGCAGTGTGAGCTCACTCCCAGTGAGAATCTGCATTGTGCCACTCCGCTCTCAGGTGACTGTCGGAAGGAAGTTCGGTTCATTTCCCTCTAGGAAATGAAGATAAGATGATCAGAGTGTTAGTGAGAGACTGGGTTAATACTTATCGAGTATCTAGAACTGTACCTAGCTCACAGCTCAAGTATACGAGCACTTTTCCAGTTGATAACTAATGGACGTTAGCTAGAAAGTGGCAGGCATGCTGCACACAGTGTGAATCATTAATTTCTTGAGGAAAAAAAGTGTCACCCAAATGTTGCTTCACATAAAGAACTAAGAGCCAATAGCATTATCAAGATGGGTTTAACTTCTTTCCTTCTAGGAAACGAAAGTTTCATGCTTGCTTTAACAAACATGTAGCTTTTATTCAAATTATAAGGCCTGGGATTAGAAGAGTAGGCAGAGGCACGTGTAATTTTTGATATGTCTGGGATATAACACAAAATCAATTCTGGAAACACCTGCTGTGTGATGAAATTTTTCCCAAGGGAGATGCCACATGAGTTTATTCACCCCAGATAGGGAGCCCATGACAGACCAAAGGATGGAATGTTTCAGTCTGGAAGGAAACTGTCACATAACACCCATGTCAAGATGTGATACCTGGTACTAGTACCTGTATGGAAATAGATTTATTTATTTTTTTTTATATTTTTAGAGATACATTCTAAGTATACTAGTAAACTGTGACATCTTAGAGACCTTACTTCTCCAAGCTTCAGTTTCCATGTCTATAGAATGGCAACAGGTCCTCAAAATAGTGATAATAACAGTATCTACTTTGCAGGACATTAAAGGAAATGTAATGAAGTATTTGAAACTGCTTCTGCTAGACAACAAATGCTCAATAAACCTCAGCAATCACGGCTGCTGTTTTAAAATCCTGTAAGGGAGTATAATTTAAGTGTGATAAAATGCACCCCTCCCGATTTTAACAAATACTCTGCTTATGTGGCCATCACCACAACTGAGCGACAGAACACTTACATCGACCAATAATCATTACCTAAAAAATCGGAACACTGATGTCTTGGTCCACAATCACAGCGAGAAGTCACTGTGTGAAGCAACAGTGAGTGAGTGTGACCTAGAGTCAGGAAACCATGGGAATACGGCAGTAGGGGACCTGATCTGGAGGGGGCTGACGGAGGGAGGGTCGAGGGTATTGCACACGGCTGCATCTGCCTGCCCAGCGTCAAGCCCCTCTATCTCCAATAAACCACGTTGCTTAGCTTTGGTGGGGGCACTTCGTCAGTGCTCCATGTGTTTGTGGGGAAGCCGTTCTATCTTTGGCTTCAATCTGTCACTTCTGCTGCAATCTTAGAAAGAAAACTCTCTTTTTGTAGTAGTAGTAGTAGGGGCAGATGAAGTCAGGACCTTAAAATGTGCACAACAAGTACTCCGCCATGGAGTTGCAGCAGCCAACCCTCCCTCTACCAGAGAATTTGAGACAGGGGCTTCGGTAATTTACTTAAACTGTCCCTGAGCCCAGGCAGGCCTTAAACTCCAGATCATCCTCCCTCAGGCTACAGAATAGCTGCGACTATGGTCCTGCACCACTTAAAACAAAATTTTTTTTTTCTGACTACAAGTTGAATTTGAGAGGGCCTCTAGAGAATGTAGCCACACAGTGGCTAGGGAGAACTCCGTGGAAAGTGCTTGCTTAGGGTGATGGAGAGTCTGTGCTCCATCCGCTGCACCAGCTCAGCACCGTTACAACCCGCCAGCACCACCAGGACGACCAACACATAAACAAATGAACCAACCAAATAAACCCCACATCAACAGAAGTTCAGCTCTAGGGCCAGAGACACTCTTTGCTGGTTTCATTTCTCTTTTTCATATGAAAGTCATCGCTGACCTTAACATCAATCAGTCGTTGATCTGTTTTCGTTTCTTTATTACCAGTGCACCTCTACTGTTGGCAAACCTGCATCTTTGGAGTTTCCTTCCTTTTGGGCCTACTTTCTAAGAAAGACACAGGCACATGTAAAATTTTGTATTCAATAATTGCTGTTTTCTAAGTCCCCTTTGATCATGATAGTGCCAAAAAAGTGGGGAGTCATTTAGCGGGGTTCTGGGTTGAAATTACAAGACTATTTATTACCCATTACATCTGTACACTTATAAACTTGTGAATGACTATAACAAGGACTTAGGGGCTGCTTTTGCTGTGGACGCCTTGATGCCTGAAGGTGGCCATCGGGGTGTGAACAGGGTCATCCATTGTTATCATCTCTGCTTCCACCTTGCACCTGTTCCTTTGCTGCTGGTCACCCTGGTGTGTAGCTAGATCAACAGGTCGGATGGCTAAACATTTTGTGGCAGGAGTTGTGAATGCCTCCCAGGCAACAGCAATTTACTTAATGCCCAAGATAATGATCTAGTAGATCACAGTTCACTCAAAGCTGTTTGTTTAACAGTGTGCGCTTCCTGTCTGCTGCCCTGGGCTTTTTTCTGTGTCATCTGGGAGTTCATGTCAGTCCTCCTAAAGACAGGGTTTGTCCTCCTTTCTTCTCAGTATAAAATCCCCCTTTTTTTGCTCCCCCCATCACTTTCTCTATTTTTTTTGGGGGGGAGGAAGGGGTGAGGATTGTAGGGAGAGGGAAAGTGGCTGGAGCTGACTTGTTAGGACCTGCATTAGACCTGTAACCTAGGACCGTAGGTTACAGGTCACAGCCACATCAATTTACATGCTTGGGAATATATTTGTGCCACACAGATTGATTAGCCATATCACCTGGTTCAAGTTACATAGTACATCGTAGATATTAATTACACGTCAAAAAGTGTCAGAGTTTCTACAGATGACAGTGAATGTATTACTTATTATGGATACATGTACTGTTGTGTGGGTATTTGTCCAACATGCCTCAACAAGACTAAACAAATAGTAATGGATCTCATTTTGTTTCATCCGTTTAATATTTATTGAATACTACATGATATGCCGGGCCTACTGTGGCAGAATGTGTTTTCAGAAATGGCCAGGACAATATTTCCTGTTCATGTCATTCTCCCCTCTAGAGGTTCAGTTGGAGTCTGAAACTCTTCTCCATTGTTCCCAAGCATCTAGGCTTCCGTCCAGGTAGCAAATTTATTCCTTGGTTGCCGTTTCTCTCTTTCAAAACAGAAGCAGTCAAGTTTCACGTTCTTTTTGGGCTCGAGATTCTATCCCGAGCCTAGTCCTGTGTCTACAGCAGCAGACCGACTGACAGCACAAACACCTCCCCGCAAGGGAAGGTGTGTCCTTAGTTACTGGACATAGAAATAATTTAGCTAAGGACAGCGCCTGCTCTCTAGGAGTTCACCATTTAGTTCTAGACTCTGGGACCCAGCGTGCCACATGCACCAAGTTAGCTGTCAGTCTTGACTCCCGTAATGATCAAAGGGTGGGTGCTCACCCTTAGGAGGTGGGAGGGATGCATCTGTTGTTGAATACTAGTCCTTGTTCTAACTGACGGGGCTGCAGCACCCGCCCGGAGAACTGCGGCGGCACGTGCCCTTGTGAAGATGTGCAGCAGCGAAGGATAACAGACATTGGACAAAATTGTGTAAAACGGTGCTAGGAAGCCAGCAGGAAAACGAGGCGGCTGAATTCTTGCTAAGGACGTGAGAACCTTCGGTGGGGGGCAGCCGTGGGCGCGTTTTGAGAAGGAGTGGCCACGAGTGGGACGGACAGTAGGGGGCGAGAGGACTGCAGGCAAGGAGAGTTGGTAATTTAAAGAAGCAAACCTGTCCTGCACGACTGGAAGCGGATTGTGCGAGCTTCGAGCGCTCGGAGTTCTCCTAGGGAAGGGGACGTTTTTTCAGTGCAAGCTCCGTTGTCGGGTGGGCTGCGGCGAACAGCAGTTCTCCTTCTGGATTTTCCCTTCTTTGGCACACTAGGCTTTTCGGTTCCCTGGATCAGCAGACGTCTTAATCCAGGCTCGGGTTAGAGTCCCACGGGGCGGGCCAGGTTCAAGGTGGCGGGGGCGCACCCACCACCGAAGGCAGCACCCGGCTCCAGTTCTGCAACCTTCGATGAGCGGGAGGGGGCGGGACTTGCTCTGCGGACCTAGTGTGGTGTGAACTCCGCCCCTCTCCCAGGCCCCGCCTCCTGAACGATCTGATTGGACTAGAACCGCGGAAGGGCAGGGCGTCCTCGGGCGGCCCCGGGGGTCGGGCTGAGGAAAGCACGCTGATTGGTCCTGTAGGGGATTAGGTCATCGCTAGCAGGTTTGGGCGGCCCGGACGCCGGCGGGGCGGCCGAGGCTTCTGTGAGAGGGCGCTCGAGGCGGCTGGGAGCTGCTTGAGGCTGCTGGGGAGCGAGCCCGCAGAGGAGGCGGGGAGGCGGTGGCCGCGCTCGCTCGCTGTTGGGCGCCGCCAAGGCTCCGCCAGCGCACCTCCTGCCGCCCGGTGGCTCTCCGCAGGAGCACCGTCCGTCCGTCCGGGTCCTGGCTGCGGTCCAGAAGCTCCCGCTCCCGCTGACCCCGCGCGCGGGGCCGGCCGACGCCACCCACACCTGTGGATCGGCCGTGGTCGCCGGTGTCGGCCGAGCAGCGCGCAAGGCGCGTCCCCTCCGCCCGGCTCCGCGGGCAGAATGGGGCTCCCGGCGCTCGAGTTCAGCGACTGCTGCCTCGACAGCCCGCACTTCCGAGAGACGCTCAAGTCCCACGAAGCGGAGCTGGACAAGACCAACAAATTCATCAAGGAGCTCATCAAGGACGGGAAGTCGCTCATCAGCGCGCTCAAGAGTGAGTGTCCGGAGCGGGGCAGGGGGGCTCGCGGTGGCGGCGCCCGGCTCCGGGCTTCCACCTCCGCCCCTTCCCCGGGCGCAGAGCGATGGGTGTCCATGCTCCTGTGATGCAGGAAGGATACTCGAAAAGAGCGGGTCGGCTTGCCTCTGAGGAGTCCCGTCGCCCGGCCCTCGCATTCTTGGACGGCCGGGAGGTGGCCATCCGGGTGGCACCTTGGGTTGGGTGTGTGTGTGCGACACAGGTGTCTCTGGCGTGAGGCTGGTACGCCCAGCCGGCCGCAGCCTGCTGGGAAACCCATCGCTTCCCCGCTCCCAGGGTTCGGTATCCTTAGGGGGCTGGTTGCTCACCCCGGTGCCCAGCCTTGGGAATGGAGCGTGCGAGGGGGCGCTGCCCATCCCCGGGAAGAGGAGAGTGGTGACTGTTTCGAGCCCTGCACGCAGCTCTAGCCTCGTCCGGGACTGCCGGGTTCTCTGCGTTGGAGTGATTGGTTAGCTGCATTCCTGGGAACACTGACAGTAATCCCTAGACATACATCAGTGCGGTGTACGTGTGCGGGTTTAGCAGAAGGTGACAGGGGTGGGAGTATAGAACCAGAGTGTTCCTTTACTCTAAACTGTGGGCGAAGGTTTAAAAATAGAACGAACACATCCGTCTCTCTCCTTCTCCTGGTCCCTTGCTCTATCTCCCCCACCCCCTTCAGCCATCCCTGAAAACTGAACAGGCTGAGAGGGAATGTCCTCAGCCCTTGATCAGAAAACGAGAAGTTTAAGATCATCTAAAAGAGTCCCTGAGCTTCTGTGAAGCCATTTTTTTGTCCCCGCCCCTCCCCCCCATCTTGGTACAAGGTGTATGTGTTATAATTTGCATGCGGTGTAACTTTTGCAGAGCAAGCCCAGAGTTTCTTCTCCTTGTGGCCAAATTAGAACATTCTAGGACTGAGCACCTTGCAGGGCGAGAAGGGTACCTTTTCATTGGGTTCATTTAAAAATAGTTCAGGAGATCTTTTCATTTTGATACTCAGGAAGTGGAGGCAGATAGTGGAATTGTGTTTGAGTCTTTACTTTTCCTGTCTCTGATGGGTTTCCTAATAGATGGTATCTTTCAGCTAAGAATGGTTGCCTCACCAGAGTAGGAGTCTAGCTGTGAGAATGGTCCCCAGGCTTCTTTAAAGAAAGACTTAAGTGCCAGGATATCATTTAAAAGCCTGTGGCTTTTAAAATTGAAGAGTGAGAGGATGGAATGTCAGGGCAGCAAGTGCCAGTCTTCTTGGGGTGAAACAAAGCTCAGGACAGACATCAGGAGACTTTTCTGGGCAGAGGCTCTGCAGGAGGCCGTGACTTACCTGAGGGGGAGGGACAGATTCATCAGTCAAAGACCAGGGCCTGCCTTGCTTCAGGAAACAAGTGACCTCTAGTAGGTTTGGGGCCCGCTTAGAAGCAGGGGTCTGAGTATTTTGGTTGCCGTTTATGCCTGCTTTTTTTCTGTCTTGGAAATAGGGTTTCCTAGTACCCTAGGCTTGCCAGGAGCCGGTGATCTTCCTGCCTCTGCCTCCCAAGAGTGCTAAGATTATGGCTGACCTCAGGCTAGCTTTAATTGATTCTCTGCTTCACTCAGCAAACATATGAAGTGCCTGCTGTTTCCTGGGCATTGCGCTGCGTACTAGGATGTAACAGTGACATTTTGGCTGCTCCCGTGGCTACAGAGGCACAATACTCTGTGGCAGCTGAGGTTTTATGTGTATATTAATCTCACACATCTCTTTTGATTTTGTAAGTGAGAACACAGGTTTGGGGAATCAGTAACCCAGAGTCATACAGCTTCATTCCCTGGCCTGGAGTTTTTGAATCTGCGTGGTCTGAGATAGAAATGTAATTCTTGCCAGTACAGAACTCTTGGTCTTTTCCTATCCTTTCTCCCCAGAATGAAGCCTGTAGGACCAAACTTGCTAGAATTTGGACTTGCATTTTGCACCTGAGCAATGAATCTGAGGAAGGTGTGTTGGGTGAATGGCAATCTTACTTCCACTATTTCTGAGAAGCTTTAATTCTTTAGATAGGAAGGACCTTTGCAATGTTGGGGTTCAAAGGTTAACCAGTCGGGTTCATCACCTCTGGGACTTTGTAGAAAGACTGAGGGTGGCCTAAGTATGTTGGTCTTTCTGCATCAAACTTTAGGGCTAACCACATCCCTCTGCTGCTGCTAAGTACTGCTTTATAGAGTGTGTGATTTATATGACCTCTTTTAAAACAAGTTTTTTAAAACAAGTTTTCACTATTCCCCCACCCCCCATTTTAGGTATTTTGTTATCATGAGGTGCTTGCTGCCTTGTATATCATATTAATTCCTATATGCTAATTTTCTTCAGTCATATTATTTTGATCATGTCTGTTAACGAGAAGCAAGTTTTTGTGCAGTACAGCCTAAAAAGAGATGACCACATGTACGGTTACATAGGTAGCATTGATTTTGTTTTGTCACTAGTACTTTTACAGAGTTCTAGGTTCAGATTTCCCTTGTCTGTGAATCAGAGATAATAAAAATGGCCAACAGCAGTGGCAGAGTTTAGCTACATCTACTTTGTGAATGACAACACCAAGCAGCCAAGAAGTCAGTAACCTGTCCAACGTACAAGGTGTTCAAATACAAGCTGACAAATTCCAAAGACATTCACCCGAAGCAACACTGTCATCTGGGTTAGTCTAAAACAGCTTCTCTGTGCATTGCTTTTTGAGAATCTGCCAAAATCTCCATCAAATGGCTTCATGAAAGCAACCCCCCTAAACGCTATATGGTTTCTCCATCCCTGACATGGACACAGGGCATAAGCAACAAAATGTCAGGGTTTTCTGTAAAAACAAAGAGAACAAGTTCTTAACTGGTATGCAGTTGAGCCTGGTCAATTCCCAGTCATTGCTGATGGTGATTCGTTCTGACTTTTTGTGAGTGGTACTCATTCAGTCACCCAGTACCCCTTCCTCTCAGTGGCTGATTTATTTTCTCAGCCCAGATGATTTTGTGTGTTCAGGTCTTTTCATTCTATCTGTAGAAGTGATAGGGGATGAGGGAGCTTTGGAGGTTCCTGGGTTCAAATCTTGACCTCAGTGCTTATTGTTTGACTCTGGGTACCTTGCTAAATCTGAGCTCCTCCTCTCTAAAATGGAAATAGTCACATGATCTCTCAGAGGCTGAAAGACACAGTGAACACAGTGAATGTTAAGACAACCAAACCCAACCCAACCCAACCCAACCCAACCCAACCCAACCCACCACCAGCACTTGGAGCTTGACCTTGGCGCCTCTCAGTTAATGTTCGCTAATACTACAGTATGCCAGCATTTGAGGCTGTGAGTACGTGGAGCTTCTGAGAACAAAAGGGGACGGGAGTAAATGTTGTCAGCTCTTTGGAACTCTCAACAGCTGTGTGTGTGAGCCACTGATGGGCACAATTGTAGAATTCTGGTAATAGTGTTTGTATCAAGTAGTGGTTATGCCAAAAAAAAAAAAAAAAGTGCTACAGGTTGAAAGGGAACAAAACCTGCAAATCTCCCAATGTCTCTTCTAGTAACTTGTTGGGTGACATTTCCTTCTCAGAGGAAGGCACTGTCTCCCTCCCTGTCTACATAACAGGCTTGTAGAATGCGCTGGTCTTTATGTGTGACCCTTTGGTGGACTCAATGGCAAAATGAATGTGGTTGTAGAGACATGAAAAGCTGTTAGTCTGAGGGGTTTGGGTTTGGGAAACCATGGTTCTTCACAAGTTGACAGTCGACTTCTGGATTTGTTGCTAGGACATACCCCTCAGAATCTGACTTCCACTCTCTGAAATAGAGAATCCTTCTTCTTATAGACTAAATGGGTGGGGCAGAAATGCAATTTTTAAGATAGAGGCATCACTGAGATATAATTCACATTATCTTGTATAGCTTACCTGTTAAAAACTTCCAACTCAGGGATTAGTATATAGTCACAGTTTGTGCAACCATTATCATCAGTCAGAGGGCATTTTTGTCATCTCCAAATGAACCTGTTTTCATTACCAGTTTTTCTTTTTTTTTCCATCCCAACCTCTGCTATTTCATCTCACCCTCCATCTAACTACTGGGTTTCCTGCCTCGGTAGAGTTGCCTAGTCTGGACATTAGAAGTAAAACTGCACTCATCCAGGTGTCAGTAATCACCTTTAGGCACCTCACTCATTTCAGATGGGGAGATGTTGAGTCAATAATGCATTCATTCTTTACAAGACAGGGGTTTAAGTAGAGGTGAGGGCGCACTGATTTATCTCCCAGGGCCTCAAAGTGTGTCCTGGTGTTTGCAGTCCGTGGGAGGGGTATGGAGTCTACCTGGTTTGATGGGTGCCGACTTAATAACCAAAGCAAAACGAAGAATCCAGCCCTTCCAGTCAAATTAGATTGTAATAGCGCATGAAGCTGTATTTCAGGTTGCTCTTTTGCAGAGTGATATGTTTGTGTTTGTTTCTGTACTAAATTAAATGAATGCTTTTATGTTATATTAGTTGAGCCTATACTTTTTATGGGCCCTTTTGGGGATGGTATGCCTTTTTCATTGACTTTTCAGATGTTACTGATGTTGAGATTTCTGTTCTTTCTCTTCCATCATATTCTCAAAGTGATTTTTAACACAAACAAATAGCCAGCATATTTCATTTTATTGAGTAAGTGCCAGTTCCTGTGCTAAGGGCCACATATTTTTCTTTAAGGTGAATGTAGTTGTCTTTCTGTATGTATGGGGGTTGGTTCTAATGTCTATCTTGGATATCCAAATCCTCAGATGCTCGTCTCTCTTTTATTGTTTAAACCTTCACATATCCTCCCGAATACCTGGGCAGCTCTATGTGGCTGCTAATACATACCATAATTCAAATTCTAGGGACATAATTGTTACATACTGTATTGTGTTTATGCAGCAATGACAGAAAAATATTTGCATGTGTTGAGCACAGGTACAGGTATCCCCCACCCCAAATATTTTCCATAC